TATTAATCCGACCGCTGCACAAGAGTTTGTTGTGCCTGGCGATGGTGGCGCACGCCTTTAATCCCAGCACTCGGGAGGCAGAGGCAGGCGGATCTCTGTGAGTTCGAGACCAGCATGGTCTACAGAGCTAGTTCCAGGACAGGCTCCAAAGCCACAGAGAAACCCTGTCTCAGAAAAAAAAAAAAAAAAAAAAAAAAAAGAGTTTGTTGATATCTTTGGGATTTCTGTCATATTCTGAAGAGAAATTTAGACGTGGATCTGGTGGAAAGAGGAGCAGTGGAGAGGACAGGGAGTAGAGGAGGGAGGGGAAATTCCATTTGGGATGTATTGAATGAGGATAAATTTAAATAAAAAGAAGGAAAGGAGTGTGGACACAGTGAGGGAAGACTGGACCCAAGCAAGACTAAAACTCAACAGGGCAAACGACAAATCCTATAGCTCTGTCTCAGACAGGAGGGGCTTCATTCTCAAAGGGCTTAGATAACTGTCCCTGAAAATTTTCATACATGTCTCTCTTATGTTACTTCTACTCCCTGGATGCAGCTCTCCATAGCAGATGTCTCATAGCTTGGGTATCTCAATATCCCATCATCTCAACATAATACAGCCCTGACTTCATCTTCACAGCTTCATGCAATGACCTCTAAGTCTCCTCACGGAATTTCTATGCCAAACTTAGGTGCCAAATGGGTGAACTAAAGAAACCACAGTGGAAGAACCTATGACAATTAATTTTGTATCTTTCTTGTATCCAGAACTAGTACAACATGGGTTATGCCCCCAAATTTGGCTTCTTAGTAGTGATGGAAGCTACCATGCTCGGACCAGAGTTGCAGCAGGCTCTGTATGAAGTTGCCTTTTGGGATTAGGAACCAAGTTGCCTATTCCTTCCATAAACTGAAGGATTTAATAATGGCTGGAATCTTACCCCTAGGGTGCCTTTCGAGGCTTCATAGATTGAAAAGCGCCTTTGCTGGCCAGTTCTCATCTTATGCACTGGGCTTCTCAATTTTGCTAATAACAGAAACGGATTGGACGAGGAGGGGTGTTCCAACTGACTGATCCTGCCTATGTGCACAAGCTGGCTGCTGAAATCTGTACCATGACACACAGAAAATGGCTTATTTCTCAAATCTCTTAAGCTGACTTAACTGTGAAGCAGGACTGAGCAGTCTGCACCGGAGAGTTCCCTAACTGTGCAGCCAATATTCACCGCCTCAAGGTAACTCTCTCACACTGTACACCACCAATGTGGCCAGTGTCCATTCACATGACGTGAGTTACATGCTGGGCAATTACAGACTTACTCCTCCTGCCACGCCCAGGGCCTTTTTCATACTGGTAACCCCAGCAGCTGACCGCCTGCCCTGTTTCCCCTTGCAGTGTACACAAACTATTCCTCCTATTCTGGTCCGAAGGCTCCATGTGGAAATCCTTCTCCTGTTACTGCAATGGACAGTCGATCCCGACTCCTTGACTCAAATGGTTAATTTTAAAATTCTGAGGTGGTGCAATCATTTAATTTAAGAATTTTGGAGATGTACTATGGAGGACAACAAAGCCATCGCCCTGGAGTGCAAACAGTCTGAAATCAGGGTCACCTGGGTCACCAGCAGAGAGCAGTCCCAGAAACAGTTTCTAAAAGGCTGCAAATGCAGCTGCTCTAGAAATACTGTGTCCTCCCAGGGAGAAATCACTCCTCACAATTAAGAGATTAATAGAGAAAAATCTCTGTGATGAGAGCCTGCATCTATCTCTGTCTAACGCTCAGAGGAGCAGCATAGACAGATTCTGCATTCCACATCTGCTGTCATCCCTAAGTTTCTCTTAGGGTCATGCGCCAGGTTATCCTCTGAACAATTTAAATGGGACAGGAGACAGCAAGTGTGGACACTTAGGCAGATGGGAGACTTACAGCAAAGACATTATCAGAATTATTTCTGAAGGACACCAGTGACCTGATGCAGGTCATTCTTCAGTGACAGGGTCCTGAGGGGAAAGGGACTGGGAAGGAGAAAGATAGGAAAAGGAGAAGACAGAAAAGATAAAAGCTGGGGAGGGGAGGTCTTGCACAAGCTGTGTCTCCTGCCAAGCAAGCTTCTTAAGAATAGCACCTTGTCTACTACTTACACGGGGGATGGAAAGAAATGGGGAGCTTCTATAAAGTCAGCAGAAACTACCATACAACGAGACAAATTCAGGAGGAGGCTAATCCAGCAGTGTTTGTTACACAAGGGTAACACAGGGCATCTCAAGAACAGTACAGATTAAGTCTACACTGCCCTTGAGACATATAACCATAGCTCCTGGTGGTGGGAAGAGCTAGGCTCTTAGGATCTGAAGGAACCCTCCACAAAGGCCCTAAACCCAGACCATTACCTGCTGAATATTCTTGGTGTTAGAAAAGGAGTTCTGTTTTATTCTCAATACATAAAAACCGGCCGGGCCGTGGTGGCGCACGCCTTTAATCCCAGCACTCGGGAGACAGAGGCAGGTGGATCTCTGTGAGTTCGAGGCCAGCCTGGTCTACAAGAGCTAGTTCCAGGACAGGAACCAAAAGCTACAGAGAAACCCTGTCTCGAAAATCAAAAAGAAAAAAAAAAAAAACACATAAAAACCACCTACAGGGCTAGAGAGATGGCTCAGAGGTTAAGAGCATTACCTGCTCTTCCAAAGGTCCTGAGTTCAATTCCCAGCAACCACATGGTGGCTCATGACCATCTGTAATACCCTCTTCTGGCCTGCAGGCATACACACGGACAGAATATTGTATACATAATAAATAAATATTTAAAAAAAAAACCACCTACACAAAGCTAAGAAGGCCTAGGCTCCAGGCTGTTTTTCCCTCTTCCCAAGAATATTCCTCCTCTCTGCCTGAGGGCCTAAATAAAAGCCTTGCTTAACTGGGTGCCAGTTTGAGACCAGCTTGGTCTACAGAGCTAGTTCTAGGACAGGCTCCAAAGCCACAGAGAAACCCTGTCTCGAAAAACAAAACAAACAAAAAAAAACAAAAAAATAAAAGCCTTGCTTGACCAGACCAGTCCTTAACGCAACAGTGTTTTACTTTGCAAATAGTTGTCACCTATCTCTCAGAACAATGCTTTTCAAGAAAACTGGAACTTTAAGGCACACCAGGCCATAAGGTCGGCTGTGACTCTGGAATGGGTCTAGAGGCTGGTTGTCAGGGATGTCTCCTTTGTAAAGAGCCAAATGTCTGGATAATCTGGTGAAAAAATAATAAGTACCCTAGTATCCTTATCTTTACTGTGGGACCCTCACCCCTTATTCTGTTTTCCCAGGAAGATAGTGGCCTTCCCCTCTCCCACCCAGGAGATTCTGAGCACAAGGTCACTTAGCTCAGCCCAGCCAGCCACCAGGTACGGGCTGATAAAGATGGCCTAACTCAAGAACAGTGGCCTTGCTCTAAGAACAAGGAAAAAGCTGACTTGACAGAATGGGAGGGAGCAAAAGTCCTTGTACCCGTGCCAAAGCACCTTCAAAAATTCTCTTTGTAGTTATGCTTTAAAAGCTTACCCCACAGAGGAGATACAGCTCCTCTCTACCTTGTTGTAACGGGGATGGAGATGAGATCCAAACATGTTTGTATTGTGCTGATTAAACCTTGCTTATTACAGTCTGGGCCTCTCTGGTGGTCTCTCTCTGGGGGTCGTAATCTGGGCACAACATTTACCAGGCCTGGTTAACAGATACTTATTTTTAAGGTATTTCAGAAGCAGTCCTCCCGCAGCTAAATTCTACTTTGAGACTTACTACCTAGCCAGCATTATTAAGTCCTTAATGACACCAAATCCTACTCTTAGGACATCACAGCGAAGTAGTGGAATGCTACCCGACCAGACGAGATGCCTTTTACAGCCTTCACAAAATTAACGGTAAATGGACCTCACACGTAAAGGTTAAATGCAAAGTCCTGAACTTCTAGAAAATACTGGAGAAACCAGGCCTCTCCAAGTTAGTCAACCTGCCTTCCATGGCTGCACCAAAAGCCCATTGTTGTTGACTCCAAACACGGTTCCACACACAGCTCCCTGCGCCCATCGCTCTGCACGGCTGCAGCCCACAGAGCAAAGTTATACACAGGACTGTGCCTGGGTCCAGGGAGCAGCACGGACCGCATGGGAGCTCACAGGACACGGAATATGACTGCAGATTCCCACCCGGCCCTGAGGACCCGCCACGCTGGATCCTGGATCTCCGCATCTGATCTTCCCGATCTGGGGACAGCAGCCCCTCGCTCACCATGCCGTGGCTTCCCGTCTCGCCCATGATTCTCTCCCAGCTCCCTGCCGCAGCACGGGCAGCACAACACGGGAAAACACTGCTCCCACCTCCTACGCAAACCAAAAGGAGCGCAGCGACGCTCACGGAAGAGCCCTGCACGACTTCTGACTGGCAGTTCGGCCCGGAGGCACTGATTGGTTGGTGAGGCTTGAGTGACAAGAGTCCCGCCTTCAGGGTTTCCCCCGAGCTTAAAGACACAGTGCTCGTCAGACTCCAGAGCCAAACTTCCACTGCCTACCGACTTTCCCAGATCAGCAGAGATTTGCATTTCAATAACTGTTGACCTTGGCTCTGACAGCTAATCACGCCACCGGCCAGTCCTCTTCTTCCTCCTGCACACGGTGTGAACAGCTTTCACAGCCCTTTCCTCAAGGTCGAGTGGAGGGATTCCCTGTCCCACGGGGGAAAGGGTGCACAGAATATTAGCAATGTTAAAGAGAAATTTAAGAACACAAAAGGAGATGTTTGTTCTGTGGCTCCACTATGATGTCAGGTGAACTATAGGTTCATTTACCTGACACAGGAGCACTTCAGAGGTGGAGAAGAGATTTACAAGAATCAGATAAGAGCCGGGCGGTGGTGGCGCAGGCCTTTAATCCCGGCACTGGGGAGGCAGAGGCAGCGGATCTCTGGGAATTCGAGACCAGCCTGGTCTACAGAGCTAGTTCCAGGACAGGCTCCAAAGCCACAGAGAAACCCTGTCTCGAAAACCAAAAAAAAAAAAAAAAAAAAAAAAAA